AACATTTAGTGATCTTTGATTATGTTCCTCACACTACATTAAGTACTTTAGGGTTATTTTTGCACTGTACTTTAATCCTCATTTTAACTTCACGAAAGACTGAAAGCATTTCAGATACGTACTTTATTTAAAAAAAAAATAGGCTTCTTAGAAGAGCTTCTTCCCATTTAGGCTGGAATGATTCCCATCAATAAAATCACAATGAGTGAGTTCACTGGGAAATATTATCATTCAGAGGCACAGACTATGAATTATAGTCAGCAAAACAAAACAAACACAACCAATCAAAGGAAAACAGCAAACTTAGAGTTCACATACACTGCATAGGCTGGAATAGAGAGGAAAAAATATGCATAATATTTTTAATTATGTATATACTGGTTAAGAAATAGGATATAATTTCAGAAAAAAGCAGTAACAAGAGACTTTCAGAACAAAATGGGAATATTTGCAGACATAGTTTGTAGAAATGAAGAATACAATTGTATTAAATGAAAATGGACCAAATTCTTCAAGTACAAACCTCATATTGACAGCTAAGATTTTAAAACTCCAACAATATACTACTTACATGAAATACAATTCAAAATAAACACATGGAAAGCATGAAATGAAAATGATACAAAAATAGATGGGGGAAACATTGTCCCAAAGAAATCTGGTGTCATTATAATATTATGTAAAATAAGCTTTAAAATAAAAATAAATATTGTAGAACAAAGGGAAAGACTATTTTATAATGATAAAAATGCTCAATTTAGTAGGGAGATAGAGCAATTCTAAAATTTTTCTACAAAGATCATGAGATTCTATCAATTAATACAGAACTGGCTTTTGATAATATCTAGCATCCTTTCATGAATAGAACATTTAAGAAAATAGGCTTAGGTGGAACATTTCTAAAACTGATAGAGGCCATCTACAACAAACCCACAGCCAGTATCATACCGAATGGAGCAAAATTAAAAACATTTCCACTCAGATCTGGAACTAGACAAGGATGCCCATTGTACCACTGCTATTCAACATAGTAATGGATATCCTGGCCATTTCAGACAAGAGAAAGGGATCAAGGGTGTTCAAATGGGGACAGAGGAGGTCAATCTCTCACTCTTCATGGATGACATGATCTTATACCTGGAAAACTCCAGAGACTCAACTACAAAACTCTTAGAAGTGATCAAGGAATATAGAAGTGTCTCAGGATACAAAACCAATACCTACAAATCAGTAGCTTTTATATATACCAACAATAATAGTCAAGTCAAAAAAGCAGTCAAGGACTCTATTCCCTTTACAGCTGTGCCAAAGAAGATGAAATACTTGGGAATTTATCTAACTAAGAACATGAAAGATCTTTATAAAGAGAACTATGAAATCCTGAGAAAAGAAATAGTAGAAGATATTAACAAATGGAAAAACATACCATGCTCAATGGATGGGAAGAATCAACATTATTAAAATGTCCATACTACCCAAATAATCTACAGGTTTGATGCAATCCCCATCAAAGCACCAATATCATACTTTAAAGAACTTGAAAAAAATAATATTTCAATTTATATGGAATCAGAAAAACCCTGAATAGCCAGTAAAATACTTAGAAATAAGAACAAATCTGGAGGAATCACACTACCAGACTTCAGGCATTATACTATAGTATAATCTATATGCTATAGATTAATAGTATAAATCTGAAGTCTAGTAGTAGTCTACTAGTAGACTGATCTGAAGTAGACTACTACTAGACTTCAGATTTAAAATATAAATCTATAGTGATCAAAATAGCATGGTTTGGGACAAAAATAGAGAGGTAGACATATGGACAAGAATAGAGAATCTAGAGATGAATCCAGGCACATATTGTCATTTGATCTTTGATAAGTCTAACAAAAATGTTCATTAGTAAAAAAAAAATCCCTATTTAACAAATAATCCTGGGAGAACTGGCCTGTAGAAGACTGAAATTGGACCCACACCTCTCACCACTAACAAAAATTGATTCTCATTGGATAAAAGACATGAAACTGTAGAAATACTAGAAGAGAGTGCAGGGAAAATACTTAAAGATATTGGACTGGGTAAATATTTTATTAGGAAGATCCCCCCGGCAATTGAAGCAACACCAAAAATAAATTACTAGGATTTGATCAAGCTAAAAAGCTTCTGCACAGCTAAAAGTGTTACAACTAAAGCAGATAGCCTTTAGAATGGGAGATTTTTGCAGGTTATGATACCAACAAAGGTCTGATAACTCGAGTCTACAGAGAACTCAAATTAATTAATAAGAAAAGAATAAACAACCCCATTTCTGACTGGGAAAGAGACTTGAACAGAAACTTCTCTGAAGATGATAGATGAATGGCCAACAAAAACATGAAAAAATATTCATCATCTTTAATTATCAGAGAAATGCAAATCAAAACCACTTTGAGATACCACCTAACCCCAGCCCACACCACAAAGTCCCCAAATTTCAGATGCTGGCATGGAGGTGGAGAGAAGGGAACACCTTTATTTATTTACTTATTTTTTATTGTTGGGGATTCACTGAGGGATTAAAAAACCAGGTTACACTGATTGCATTTGTTAGGTAAAGTCCCTCTTATAATTGTGTCCTGTCCCCAAAAGGTGTGTTACACACTGTGACCCTCCACCTCCTCTCTGCCTCCATCGCTCTTTCTGCTATCCCCTTACCCCACCCCCACCATGTACTAGGTCATTAATTGTCCTCATATCAAAATTGAATACATAGGATTCTTGCTTCTCCATTCTTGTGATCTTTTACTAAGAATAATGTGTTAGAGAAGGGACCACTTCTACACTGCCAATGGGATTGCAAACTAATACAACCTTTATGAAAATAAGTATGGAGAATCATTAAAGAATTAGAAATTGACCTTCCATTTGATCCCATAATTCCATTACTAGGTACTTACTCAGAAGAACAAAAATCATCTTACCACAAAGACATTTGCACCAGAAGGTTTATTGTGGCCCAATTCATAATTGCCAAGTTATTAAAGTGGCCCAAATGCCCATTAATCTTTGAATGGGTTAACAAATTGTGATATATGTATACCATGGAATACTATTCAGCCATTAAAAACGATAGAGACTTGGCATCTTTTATGTTTACATGGATGGAGTTGGAACATAATCTTCTTAGTAGAAGAAAAATGAATGAAAAAAAGTATCCGATGTACTCAATATTATGAAACCAATATGTGAACACTTAATCAATAAGTGTTGAATTTAATTCAATACTTGTTCAATATATGAACACTTATTCATTCATACAAATGATAAAACACAAATATAGTCTAGCAAGAGGGAGAGGAGAGAAGTTAGAGGGAAATGGAAGGAGGAGGATGATTGGTGCCAGGAGGGAGGACATTTGATGGGATCTACCTACTGTGCACAATATAAAGGTACACTTCAAAATAACTAAGAGTAATTATAAATGTTTTGCCACAAAAAATAAGCAAGTGAGGTGATGGTTATGTTAATCAGTTTGATTTAAGTATTCTATATTGTAAATCAAATCATCACATTATGCCCCATAAATGTAT